GCCCCATGGAAGCTGGTATGCTGATACGACAATTAACTTGGCAGTTCTCTCTCCCTCAAAAGAGAAATTTGCAGGTAGACAAATGTAACCAGAGGCCCAGTATTTATACTTACGAAATCAGCTAAATGAATGAATGAATGAATAAATAAAATATGTGTGTGTATGTGCATACATACACACACACACATATGTTGGGTTATGTAATTTTCACTTAATCATAGCCCTAAAACACACTTTCTTCTAAACCTTATGAAGACTATGTAATTTCCTTTTATACAATCAGGGATGCTCCAAAATCTACGAATTTAAAAATCTTCAAACATGTCCAAGGGAGTCAGTGTGTATCTAAGTTTCATCCCAAATGTGTGCACAGAGAGAGAACATCTTCATTAGTCTCAGAGACAGAGAGGCTCATATGCTTGTGGTTTTGAAGGCAGACTTGGGCTTCTTGCTTGAACTTTGCAAAACAACAATGGCAGACTCTCTGCATCACTTGTGCCTGCCTGAAAGGAAGTCTCTAAAGGCCCCAGAGTTAAATCTTGGTCCTCACTCTTGTATTCCCTTCCCAGGACTCACCAAATTGGCATTTTTGCCAAGGCACACAGCCCATACCAACAAGCACTGTGTTCTGGCTCCCAGGTGTGTTTTCCTTAAGGACCCTTAGGTACAATAGCTTTCCTTTGTTTTGAACATTCACTGTGGCTAGGTGAAAAGTAATAGTTTAAATAGACTACTCACTTTTTCTAATAATACCCTTATAATTGTTATCTATTCTCTTTCTCCGCTAAATAGCCAGTTAAGTATTGATGTAAGTAGATGGTGAAGTAAAGAGAATTCTGGGTTTGAAGCTAGGAAGACCTGAATTAAAATCCTACCTCAGATGCTTACTAGCTGTGTGACCTTGGGCAAGTCACTTAAACTGTTTGCCTCAAGGGTAAAATGAGGGGGTTAGACCTGATGGCTTATAAGGGCCTTTCCAGCTCTGAGTCTTCAATCCCATGATTCTCTGGTTTAAAACACATCGGATCCCATGAAAATGCTGAAAAAATTAAACTGAACCGGATTTTAAAGTTTAATGCCATACAACGACCCTGACTGACTTCCATCCATAAATAAACTCTAAACATTTATATGAGGAAATGAACAAAGCTGAGTCAGGCAATTGTGCACCTGGTTCCAAACAAATGACATCTGAATCAACTTTGTATTGAAAAATCCAAGTTAATGAGGACATCATAAAATGGTCATAAAATATCCTTAGCAGTTCAGGAAATATCATTTAGCAAGAAGAAGTAATTGGCTATTTATGTAATTCTGTTCCTCCCCTCCTTTTTATAGACTGGACCTGGGATTTCATTGGTATAGCAAACCTCTCCATGCGGATCACTCTGTAGCTTACACTCTTAGCAACTTGTTGTGGGGATTGAGTGGCTAAATGACTTGCCAAGGGACAGTAATATTAATACTAATACTAGTTATTATAATTTTATTATTAATGATTTAATAATAACATTTATATAGTGCTTCCTATGTGCCAAGCACTCTGCTATGCACTTTACAATTATTATCACATTTAATCTTGACATCAAACCTGGAAGGTAGGTGCTACTATTATGCCCATCTTACAGATGAGGAAACTGAGGCAAACAGAGGTTAAGTGACTTGCCCAAGGTCACCCAGCTAGGAAGTATCTGAGGCCACATTTGAACTCAGGCCTTTCTGACTCAAGGCTCAGTGTTCTGTCCATTAGGCCAACTTAGCTAGGCAAGCCAATATACATCAATACAGATATTCTAGATATGAAGGCCTAGCCCTCTATCCATTATTCCACAACAGTCCTCTACTTACTGACTTCCTTAAAGACTGAGTTGTAATATGGAGTTTCCCAAGACCGGAAAAGTTTGGTTGGAAGCATAGACAGAATCTTTGGAATGACAACTGATGAAAACCCATTCCAAAGTACATACTGAGAAGATAAATGGTGTGAGGGTTAAGAACTGCGATTTCATACTGAAGCTCTAACTTCTCAACTTAAAAACAAAAACATCTTTTAAAATCCTCACCTGGAAGGTTTCCTTAATTTTTTAAAAGATAATAATGAATGACAAAAGAGTCAGGATAGACTTGCTGATTAACGTGTCTCAAGAATAATATTTAATGACAGAGAAACACAATTACATAGTATAGTGGGAAAGAATCAAGTCTCTTAACTGTTTTAAATAAATGAATGGAGTCTATGAAGCAAACGCGACATTCTTAATATGTATGTTTGCTGCCCTAGATTTTTTAGTGCCAATAGAATTTAGGTTTGAAAGGTTTTCGTGATTGTGGCATATTGTTGTTTAGTTGTTTCAGTCACGTCTGACTCTTTGTGACCAACTCTTCATGACCCACTTTGGGGATTTCCTTGGCAAAGATACTGGAGTGTTTTGCCATTTCTTTCTCCAGCTCATTTAACAGATGAGGAAACTGAGGCAGACAGGGTTAAGTGACTTGCTCAGGGTCACACAGCTAGAAAGTGTCTGAGGCTGGGTTTGAACTCAGGAAGATAAGTCTTCCTGACTCCAGGCCAGGCACTCTATCCACTGTGCCACCTAGCTACCTCCTTATGGTATGTATCTCTTTAATAAAATTGTCACTAAATCTCAACTTGTAAATTAGTTGCATAAGAATAAATAAACTTTAAAGTTTTGGCCTACAAATAATATTTTTAAGATGTTCTGATAATGATTTCTCATACACCATTCAACTACCTTAAGCAGGGGTCCCCAAACCTGGGATCTGTGAACTTAACTGATTTCCTTTGTAATCCCATATGTTTTATTTTATGCTTTTAAAGCTATTCTTTTGAGAAGGGGTTCATCAGACTGCCAAAGTGGGGGAGGTCCATGACAACAAAAATAAAGACCTCCTGATCTTGAGTGCATCCCTAAGACCAAGCAATTTACTTCATAGCTAGGCCTTGAATTTTGCCTCCCTACATATACAATAAATTAATGAATAGATGTAAGAAATCAATATTTGACACCTATTGCAATTAAAAAAATGGGTTCATTCTATGGGTATAAAATGAAATCCCTCTGTGATTCCTCCCTAGCAACACTGAAATTCTTTCGCACTGCTAGGTGATAGCTTCATCCATCCTAACAACTGTAAGATTTTTTTTTAGGCTATCTAAATTATATAACAACCTTATATAACTCAGGATCTGCTGTCTACATTAGGTTTTCCTTCTTTTTTCCCTCCAGATTCCAGTCCTTTCTTTACCCTCTCAGCCTCTAAAACACAGGCTACTGGGCATAGGTCAAAGTCACAAATTGACAACTCACATTTAAATTTCACAAGCAGCCTGAGGAATGGAGAAGGATGTCAGCAATACTGTGGACAGGGTCAGTTATTCAGAACTTGGAGATCCTTGGACATCATCTAATCTAGTACTGGCAAGCTCTGTTCTATTCTGTAGAAGCCTGACGTTCTGCAGGATACGAACAGGAGTTCCAAGAAAAGACTGTCATCAATATAATTCAGAGCCAGCCTAGTGCAGTGGAGACAGAGTTGGCTCTGGAGCCAAAAAGATCTGAGCTCAAGGCCCATCTCTGATCCATACTGGCTTTGTCACCCTGGGCAAGTCACTCGACCTATTAGTGCATCTCTAAGTAGCAGAGAAGGTGCCATTAGGCACCTGGAGTTCTGCACATCAATGAAATCACAGGTCCAGGTCCTACCCCATATTATCCTTACTCATATTTGAAACATTTTTAGAACCTAGGATCTTCCCTCCTTTATCCTTCCACACCCATCATCAAACAAACAGAGACTTGCCCAAGCTCACACAGCTAGTAGGTGACTGAGGCTGGATCTGAACTCCCAAAGATGAGTCTTCCTGACTCTAGGCCAAGCACTCTATCTACTGCAACGCCACCTAGCTGCCACCTTGTGGTATGTATCTCCTTAATAAAGTTGTTACTAAATCCCTACTTGTGGTTCAACTGCATAATCTTTCCCTCCACAATCTTTTTTTTTTTCCAAATTCATTCCTTCCCATCTATTTTCACAATCACTGTCCCTCTCCAAGCCTTTATCACCTCACATTAGGATGACTACAAGAACCACCACCTTCTCCCTTTTAATGTCAGAACAATCTTCCGTAAACAGACTTCATATCATGCTTCTAGTCCCAAGACTGCACAGTGATTATTTATGGCTTTTTTCTACCCAAACCAAATTCCTCAGCCTCGTATTCAAGGCCTTTTGCCAAAAGGTTGCCTTATTTCACGTAACTCCTCACCATAATACTCCATTCCACCCAAGACAATTTGCTGACCACGCCCTTCCCTCCCTTAATCTGATTTCCATTTTCTACCTCATCATTTAGATATTAGAGTTATACATTTTTTTCTTTACTTAAAAACAAAACAGTGAAGTGGATAAAGCACTGGCCTTGGAAGCAGGAGGGCCTAAGTTCAAATCCAGCCTTAGATACTTACTAGCTGTATCACTTTGGGCAAGTCACTTAACCCCAATTGTCTCAAAAAAACAAAACAAAACAAAATGAAATAAGATTCATAAGTTGTTTTAAATTTGTAGTTTCTAACTGGCAGGCATTAGGTATCCCCTAATTCTTTTGTACTTAGAGACACCAACCGATTAAGGAGAAAGGATGGCTTGATTGGGGTTTAATAGTAGAATTCTCAAGTATTTTTTCTATCTGCTAGATTTCATTCTATGTGGATTAACAGGAAAGAGATTTTACTTTAAGTGTGACGTTTTATTATTGGTTATGCTGGAGGAGGGAAGATCTGGGAACAATTCCTAATCTTGAAACCAAACCAAGCGTTGACCAAAGTATTCTATGTGGAACTTTCTTACGTTAAATAGGCTCTCTTTAGAGAAGAAGATTACTGGACAAGATTAAAATGGCATAATGTAAGCTCATCAATAATTGCAATGAAAGATTTCAGCTCTCTTAGCTTGCTTTCCGGAATGAAGTAAAAACTCACCTCTTGAAATGATTTGCCAGAACGCCTACGAGTTCACCAATTCGACTCTCATTGGTTGGCTGTTTGCTGAAAAGGCAGACAATGAGGTCTTTGTTGTCTTTTGTATGGAAAACCACAAGCTGGTCCTTTCCATTGGAGACACTCAACCCAGTCAACTGCAAAGAGTTAAAAAATATTACAAGGTTTGTTTTCAAACATGTGATCAACATACTTATATTTGGTATTTCTTCTGTCCACTTGTGATTAGAAACAACCCAGAGATCTTTTCTAGAAGAGCACAAATGGTTCTTTGGTCTTTTTTTGTCTATGCTGAAACTATTCCATTAAAACCTACACCTGATGTTTACACCTTCACAACCATATACACTGGTGCCTTCCATTGTAAATATTAACACTTTCCAGAAACAAGGTGAGGATTTATGTGCAGAAGCTAGATGAATACAACACATTTCTCTCAGTAAATTTAGTTCTGTTCTTGCAAACCCACTACTGTCTTTTTCAATTTTGGAGATTATTACTCAGAGTTATTATCATGAACTATGAGGTATCACAAATAACAATAGTCAAAGACTTTTAAAGATGAGGTTTAGTTCCAGGGTCCCAGTATTAGGCAAAAACCTATGAAGAATCCTTGGAAGACTGAGAAAAATGAAAATAGTTAAAACACTGGGAAGTAGCATCCATGAAAAGCTAACAGAATGTGTCTTATTTAATCTGAAAAAAAAAGAAGGGGTCCTAAAAAATTTTACAGAATGCAGAAAAGATTTGTTACTTGTGGTAGTAAACACTGCCTTCTCATTTTCAGAAAGATGAACTTAAATTGCAGCAGATTATAATCTAAATCAGGAGATTTATGTCAGACTTCAGAAAATATTTCTTACATAGATGGATCTTAAGTGTCTAGAATAGTGAAGCTTGTAGAATCTTCTTAAAGACTTCATTGAGCTTCTTGTCTGTAACCAAATGGATAAACCAAATCTACTGGGAAATTCTGTGGCTATTGGGTTGTTTCTGTCATGTCTGACTTCTGTGACCCTATTTGGAGTTTTCTTGGCAGAGATAATGGAGTGGTTTGCCATTTCCATCTCCAGCTCTTTTTACAGATGAGGAAACTGAGGCAAACAAGGTTAAATGACTTGCCCAGGGTCACACAGCTAATAAGTACCTGAGGCTGGATTTGAACTCACAAAAATGAGTCTTCCTGATCCCTAGTCCAGTGCTCTATCCACTGTGCCACCTTGCTGCCCACTGAAAAAATAGGGTTCCCTTGTTCTGATAGTCTTCTCTGTAAAATAAAACAGACTTGCAGAGTGGCCTCTCCAATTGTGTCCTACTTGTATACTGCAGAGAACACTGAAGTGCCCCCTTCTGGTCACTCTGGTATGTCAATAATGATGGATTCTTTCTGTTCTATAGCACATAAGTGTGTGTGTGTGGGGTGTGGGGAACCCTTTCAGAAGTCTCATGGACCCCTTCTCTGGAAGAATGTTTTAAAATGCATAAGATAAAATACAAAAGATTAAAGAAAAGCAATTCTATTACAACCGAGTTTAAGGACCCTGGATTAAGGACCCTTTGATAGTCTAGAAGAAAAGCCTTTAAGGAGTTTATAATCCAGCTGTAGAGACAGAAGAGAGGTGCATGAAATGAGTGAAGCATACTGTTGCTAGATGCAAAAGCACATAAATGGCACAGAGAATCACAGCATCACAGACTGTGAGATGAAACCACAGGTGAGGCCCCAAAAGGTTCAGAGATTTGTCTGAAGTCTCACAGATAATAGATAATAGAGCTAGGATTTGAACCCAGGTCAGTGGATTCCAAGCTTGGTGCCTTTTCCACCATCTCATGCTATAAATACTGAGAAAAGTAGTTAAAAACTGGGTACAATAGAATGCAACAATGAGGTTTTGGCTGCTTTTAAAAAGGGAGTAAGAACATGGGCTCATGGAGAGGTGGGGATAGGTATTCTAGGGGAAGGGAATGACTCCTTAAACCTAGGTAGATATGTATTATTTCTACTATACCACACTGCCTCAATATAATGTAAATTGGCTGCCCATATTACCTTGCTCGGGCAGCTAGGTGGTGCAGTGGATAGAGGCTTGGAGTCAGGAAGATTCATCTTTGTGAGCTGAAATCTGACCTCAGACACTAATATGTGACCCTGGGCCAGTCACTTAACCCTGTTTGCCTCCGTTTCCTCATCTGGAGAAGGAAATGGCTAATCACTCCAATATAACTTGAGGTTATAGATTTTACTACTAGATTATACTCTCCATGAGGGCAGGGGCTCCATTTTCTCTAAACTTTGTCTCTCTGATAGTACCTACTCTAGCAGAGGGTACTCGGAATATGGCTGCTTAATTATTGTTGAAATAAAGTGCCTAGCCCCTCAGGAATGGCCTCATTCAAATGATTTAAAATGTAATCTAATTGAAACGATATTTTATTTTCTATTAAGTTCAGTACCTGAGCTATCTACTCTCACCTGGTGATTTTACATATGACATTAGGAAGTGAGATTATTAAAAACATTTCACCAAAATGTTTGATGACAATCTAATAAAATTCCAAACCCAGATGTCTGGGGGTTTTGGCTCCAGGAGCGTTAAATGCAGGACTAGAAATGGAGAAATCTGGTCTTCCAGAGGATGATCCAAAGGTCTCTTGAACAAAATCAATTCAACCAATATATTAATATGTGCAAAACACTGAGGGAAGGGGACAAGGTCAAGTTTAGAAATAACTGATATGAAATATAATAAGGGCACATAAGGGGGACAAAGAATTATCTACATGAGCTCCAAAGAGGCAGTGATTGCTTCCAAATGGAAGGAATCAGATAACCTTTCATGGAAGAAATGGCATTTGGGCTAAGCCTCAACAGATGGGTAGGATTTGAAGAGCAGAGTCATGGGAGGAGGGGGAAGAGAAGGAGACAGGAAAGGAAAAGGGATGACATTCCAGCCACATTTATACTGGGCCTTTGAGTTTTTACATACATATTACTTCATTTGATCTTCACTGAGGAAAGAAGTTTAAGTATTATTTATTATCCTTATGTAAATGTAAGGGACAAGGTATCATGCTCCCACAATTTAAGATAACCTTCAACATCTTACAACATCAGCAAAGAAGTTAGTAATAATGTAAGGGCTCCCACAATTTAAGATAACCTTCGACATCTTACAACATCAGCAAAGTTAAATTGTTTTAACAAGCTTGCAAAACCTTGAAAGGGCAAGCCCATGAGAAGGGCCCTAATCTTGTGATAGACCCCAAAGTTCTAGAAGGCAGAACCGGTTATAACCAACCCTAAGTAGGACAAAGAGCACGGGCTGATGAGGGATGGGGGACATGAGATGGGTGGATGTGTAAGATTGTAACCTGGAAAGGAACAGACCAATCTGGGCCTGGAAGGGAGGAGCCGAGGCATTCTAACAGTATAAAGCTGTCTCTCCCTTCTGTATTGGGCACAATCTCTTCTGAGAGATGTGCCCAGGGAGAATTGTAAATAAATGATTCTTCACTCACTCCAAGCTTAGTTTCGTTTTTAACTAGAAGGCTTTATTTCTCTAAGGTCTTATTTCTAACATAAGTGAGGAGGAAATGAAGGCTCAGAAAGCTAAAGTGAATCTGAACACTTGTTTTTGACTCCAAGTTGTATTATTTCTACTATACCCTACTGTCTCAACATAATGTCAATTGGCTGCCCCTATTACCTCATTAAGGGGCCCAGTGAATACAGCACTGGGCCTGGAATCAGGAAGACTCATCTTCTGAGTTCAAATCCTGCTTCACACACTTACAAGCTGTGTGACCCTTGGCAAGTCGAGTATCTGTTTGCCTCAGTTTTCTCAGCTGTAAAAATGAGCTGGAGAAGGAAATGGCCAACCATTCTAGAATCTTTGCCAAGAAAACTCCAAATAGGGTCATGAAGAATCAGACTGAACAACAAATTTACCTCGTTAAGTATGTTTAACCCCTAAGGTGACTGAAATATCTTACATCTGCAATGAATATTGACATAAAACAATATTGGTCTTCTAATCTCCAGTGTTTAGTACAGTGCTTGGAACAGAGTAGATATTTAATAAATGTTTATTGATTGATTGGCTCACTGTTTGTTGAATTGAAAATAGAAAAACAGTGAAAATGAATTAAATGTTTTATTTATCTAAATTTCTGAGAAATGAGGTAAAGCTAGAAGCCTGAAGAGAACTAAATACTTTAAAAGGCTTTACTGAGTGCTGGATTCCATTGTATACAAAGGAGCTGGAAGCATGGGATTGAAACCCTGAGTACAAAAAGCAGCAAGACTTTATAAAAATAGTTTCAGGAAAGAAACCCAGTGTGAGCAGAGGCTCTCCATCTATTCTAAAGGCAGCCGAAAGGGGCCTTTTAGAAATCCAAGTTGGAGCAAGAAGAAAGTCAAGGACGAGATATGTTTTATGTTCAGGGGAGAGGGGACAATAATAATAGACGATGGTGAGAAGACAGAACTACTCTTCTTTTGCTTCTGTTTTCTCTACCAAAGCAAATTATCTTCAAACTGGTAAGGACAGAACAAAAATAGCTACCTGGACATCGAAAACAAAGGTAAATAGTTACTTTCAATGAGTTCTAATCACCTGGTCCAAACCTTGAGTGACCTGCAAGCATACTGAAAAAAAGAGGGTGTGATCACTGAACCACTTTTTATGATGTTTAAGGAAATGAATTGTGGGAGGTGATCTATGGAATTAGAGGTAGGGAAAATGTCTCATTCACTTAAAAAAAAAGCAATTGACTTTGATACCTAGTAATTTTTCTAAAATACATAAAAACCTCCACCAGTTTCGGGGTACTTTGCAAAGGAGGAGGTAACCATAATGAGACACCAATGGCTCATTAAGAGCAAAGTCATACAAAACCGAGAGAAGAACAAGTCATTTCTCCAAAGGACTCATGATGAAAAATGCTATCCACCTCCAGAGAGAGAACTGATGAGCTCTGAATGCAGACTGAAGCATATATTTTTTCTCTTTCTTTCTTTCTTTTGCAATAGAGCTAATGTAGAAATGTGTTTTGCATGATTTCTTATGTATAATGGATACTGCATTTCTGGCCTTCTCACTGGATGTGGGAGGTGGAGAGAGGGAAAGAATTTGGA